ATTTTAATGGAAGTTAACAGAGACTTAAGGTTTCCATTCATTCATTGTTGCACTTTTCTCCCTGCCCACCCACTCCTCCCAATTCACTCTTCTTGAAAAGTGAAAGAACTCTTTTATTGTTATGCAATCCCTCCCCTCAAGTCCACTCCACTGTGCAGCTTCATTCTGGACTCCTAAGGATTCTGAAGCTTCATCTGACATAATTTGGGCATGTTGCAACGAGGGACATCATGTTTGGGAGAGTGGAGGGATGGCGCAGGAGAAGAAGACCCTCAATGTGATGGATCAATTCTGTGATTGGGGTGGTGGGAATGAGTGTGTTTGAGATGGTAAGGTTGGCACAGGGTAGAACGGCGTTTAGGGCTCTTGTACATATGGTCACTATGAGTCTCATGGGACTTCTATGGCACATAACAACAACAACAACAACAAACAGTTCTCCCTCATCTGTTTCAAGGCAGTATACATTATTTATCCCCTCTTTCTCAGTCTCCCCTCAACCCAGATGTCAGTCCCATTTTCGAACAGTGGAACTATGCAACAGTTATCCTTCTGTGACTAATATATTTCACTCAGGTTAAAGACCTCCAGGACCACCCATTTTCCATAATATTTCATGAGTTTCTTGTTTTTCAATGCTGCATAGTATTCCATTGTGTGAACTTACCAGAGCTTCTCTATCCATTCATTTGTTGATGGTCACTTGGTTTGTTTCTAGCTCTTTACTATTGCAAACAAAGCCACAATAAACATGGGTGTGCATATATCTGCTTGGGTGGCAGTTATGATTTCTTTAGGGTATATTCCCAGTAGTGGAATTGCTGAGTCAAATGGTATTTTATTTGCAACTTTTTGAGAGAGAGCCACAGAGCCTCCCATAGTGGTTGCATCATTTTACATTCCAGTTTCTCCACAACTCGCCAGCATTTGTTGTTTGCTGTTCTGTTAAATTTTGCTATTCTTACTGAGGTGAGATGATATCTCATAGTTGTTTTGATTTACTTCTCTCTTAGAGCTAGGGATTTTGAACATTTCTTCATGTGTTTGTTAACCATCTGAATGCCTTCTTTGGGTCTGTTCATATTCTGTGCCCATTTTTCAATTGGGTTATTTATTTACCTTTATCTTGTTGTGGTGCTCGAGTATTTTATAAATTCTAGATATAAGTCCCTTGTTTGACATGTCATTACCAAATATTTTTTCCCAGTCTGTGGCTTCCCTTTTTCCCCTATTGGAGAAGATTTTGGATGTGCATAGGAATTTGATTCTTAGAAGGTCCCATTCATCTATTTTATCCTCTCCTGGCTATAGACTTTCCAGGATGCTTGGAAGACTGTTTATGTTGTAGATTAGGAACTCTAGAGTTCTTCCAAGCTTTTCTTTAGTGATGTGTATAGTTTTTGGTTTTAGTCCTAGGGCTATAATCTGTGTTTAATTGGTTTTTGTACATGGAATGAGGTGTGGATCTTGCTTGAGTTTTCTTCAGATAGTTTTCACAAAGGACCTATTCAAAGAAAATTACAAAACATTACTACGAGAAACAGAAAGAGACCTGGAGAAGTGGAAGATCCCTTGCTTATGGATAGGAAGACTCAATATTGAGAAAATGACAATACTACCAAAGGCAATGTACATGCTTAGTTCAATTCCAATACAAATACCAGTTCCTTTTTTCAACAAGATGGAAGGGAAAGGCCATCTCCAATTTCATCTGGAACAGAAAGAAACCCAGAATAAACAAAGCACTCCTTTAAAAAAGAAACAAGGTAGGAGGCATCTCAATCCCTGATTTCAAATCCTTTCTACACTGCCATGGTGGTCAAGACAGCATGGTACTGGTACAATGACAGACACATAGATCAATGGAATAGAATTGAGAATCCAGAAATCAGCCCATGTACCTATGGTCAACTGATTTTTGACAAGGAGATAAAATCAGTTAAGTAGGGAAATGACAGCCTTTTTAACAAATGCTGCTGACTCGCTGATTTTCTAAGTATGGTACCTTTCTGCAGAGACTAACCCCTCTTGAGAACATGCCCAAAGGATATGATCTCATCATCATTGCTTCTAAGCTGCAGCTAGCTCATTTCTTCAGATAGTTTTTTTTGTTGTTGTTATTTTGGCAGTTCATGGTATATTCAATAATCATTGCCATCACCACTATTAAAAGGTATAGATTCTTCTTTATTCTTTCTTATTAATTGTCCAGCTTTCACGTTCATATGGAACAAATAACTATGGTTTGGGTCAGGTGCATTAAGTCTTTAAACTGACATGTAAACATTTCAGCAAGCCCCCAGACAACAGACTTGTCCAATGTCATATGCTGTCTGATTTCTTTATGTCTGCTTCCATGGATGTCAATAGTAGATCCAAATAATATGAAATCCATGAAAACTTCTCTTTTCTCTATTTATCATGGTGCTGTCAATTGGTTCAACTGTGAAGATACTGGTTGGGGTTTTTTGTTTTGTTTTGTTTTGTTTTTTTGTGGTGATTTATAAGCCACACTGAAGACTAACAACTTTGAGCTTTATCAATAAAGTGCTTCCTATTTTCTTTCTTTTCAACAAGTAGAAAAATATTTTGTTGTTGTTATTAGGTGCTATCAAATTGACCATGACTCATAGCAACCCAATGAACAACAGATCTGAGCCTGGCCCTTTCCACATCATCCATATCATCTCTGACACACTTGACCTTTTGTTTCAGGCACTGGGTTAATCATTCTCGTTGAGAGTCTTCCTCTTTTTCGCTGACCATCCCCACTTCCAAGCATGGAAAATTCTTGATGTTTTTGTTTTTCTTGCTTTTTATACATAAAATTTTTACTCTGGGATGATTTTGGATTTATAGAAAAGTTGTAAACATAGCATATAAAGAACACTGCATAACACAGATACATCTTAGTTAAGTTATATATATATCACAAATAGTCAGTTTCCTCTAACATTTTATATTGCCATGGATAAATTGAATACCACAGTTCCTGAGTGGTAAGGAATTGAGCTTCCAATGCAAAAGCTCATGGTTTGAATAAACCAGTTGTTTTGAGGTAGAAAGATGTGCAGTCTCCTGTGCAATTTACTGCCTCTGAAAACAATGTGAAGGGTCTAGTCTATTAGTCACTAGCTAGAGTCTATTTTGACTCAACAGTACATAGCAACACCACCAACAACAACAACACTGTTAACTAAATTTTATATTTTGCTTACATTTAACTAGTGTTTCCACTAATGCCCGTTTCAATTTACAACAGAATTACAAATTACAACAGAATTTACTACACCCAGGATAGGACATTGCATTCCATTTTCATTGGTGAAACAGATGAGCCCAGCAACTAATCTGGATAAACTTGAACAGATCAGTAATTGTGATGACAGGGACCAGGGTACGCTTAGGTCTGTTGTCCATGTATGCACTGTCATGATTCAGAGTTAACCCCACCATAATTAATAACATGTATCGGAGACGGTGCGACTGGCACAGAACAGAACAGAGTTTAGGGATGTTGTACATAGGGTCGCTATGAGTCGCAAGCGACTCGACGGCACATAACAACAACAAAATGAACTGTGCCTTTCAGATAAGGAAACCTTCTAAACTTTCCAAATTAGTAACCCACACTTAAAAGAAAGTTGTGAAATACTCTTTAATTTGAGGATCCATGTGAAAATAAAAATTTAAATACCACACAAGGAAATATTACAAATCTTAATATTAGTAAATAATCTTTGACTAAATAATCAGGTGACGCTGGTAATTTGGGAAGTGGAGAACGTAAAGGAGCTAGGAAATGCTGATCAGAAATTAATAACTATGCTAAATGGCAAAACAAGACTATACAATTTAGAACGGAGAAGAACAGGGGGTTAAAGAAGAAAATGAAACTGGGAAGAAACAAAAAGCATTGGGCGTAAGATCCAACTCATGGGGCAGGCAGAAATTTTCATGGACTATGATACTCAGGTAAAGGAATCTTTTCGGGTGGAGCAGAAACTTTGACAAATGTTGTTTTGATACAACCTGACTCATGCCATTACTTAGAGCAGGAAGAATTAGCGTTCCAACCATCCCTAGCTTAAAGAGGAGTTTAACACTCCTTAGTGATTGCGACAAGCCTACTACAAACTACATTTGTCTTTTCTGCTGCTTTTATCCTGGTGAAATCTCATAATTTTGGCCCTAACAGGAGAGGCTTAGTGATCTGGAGAGTTAGGAGTCAGATTCGTCCTTGTCCACTGATGTTGCCTTGCCTCCAGCCCCTAAATCGCACATGGAAATATTACTCATCTCCATTTGCCAGGGCACCTATTCCCATTGTTAACTCTAATCATAAAATCAGGTCAGTTCCACCCACAACTACATGATCCAGTATGCACTCAGTGACTCCTACAAAAGGCTTCCAAGCTTTGGGAAGCCCCACCCCGTACGTAGCTATAGGAAAGACTGACAAGCCTGCAACCGGAATAAGTGCTCTACCTCCTCCCTTCCCGGCAACAGATATTGTTTCCCACTCTCTGTCCACATGTGCGCATCGCATCTCAATTCGTTCATGGCCCTAGACTGTGCATTGCCCTGGCCAATAAGCGAATTGTGCACGTGCACTGATGCGTCTTCCCATTGGCTAGCACTCACTGATCACGCTCTGCTTTCCTGAGAAACCACAGAGAAGGGACGCCAATGAAAAGCTTTAATAGCCTTTAACAACTAATCAGCGAAGTTCCAGGTTCGCGGCCGACCTATGGGCGTGTGTCAGGGGCGGGCTGTTCCGGCCCCTTTCTTGTCCTGGCTTGGTTTGTTAAAGCAACAGGGCCCAAGGCGTGCCTGGGATCCAGGTGGACTGCACAACGCTGGTGACAGCGTCGCTCTCCATCCCAGGCCAGCCGCGGCGGCATCAGTGCGGTTACCTGGTGAGATGGGCGGCGAAGCGAGGTCTGCAGCGGCCTTGGGCTCCGAGCGTCGCGTGAAGAGTCTGGGGCTGGTGTTTGTGGATGAGCGCAAGGGCTTCTACTCGAGTGGGGAGACAGTGGCGGGGCACGTGCTGCTGGAGGCGGCTGAGCCCCTGGCCCTGCGCGCACTGCGCCTGGAGGCCAGAGGCCGCGCCACTGCGTCCTGGGGCCCTAGTGCAGTGGCCCGCGCCTCGGCCAGCGCCTTGGCCTCGGCTGCTGCCTCGGAGGTGGAGTACCTGAATGTGCGCCTGAGCCTGCGCGAGCCCCAGGCTGGTGAGCAGGGATCCTGGGGAGGTCTGCGGGACCCTTAGGTGCTGGGTTGGCCCTGCGCGTTGCCAAACTGTACACCTGACAGGTGAGCAGGGCGGGGTTCCCAAGGGGTGGCCAGTGCCTCAGCTCGATCGCTGGTGGGGGGTGGGTTACAATGCCAGCCTTACCAACCTGACAGCCACACCTAGGCTGCCACTTGGATTGGAGGTACTACTTGGCTTTCTGTTCTGGGATTGCTAAGGTAATGGGCCTTTGTCAGAGGCAGTCATGGACAATCAGGAATCTTCTGACTTCAGATCTAGGCCCTTTCTTTTCTGGCACAAGGGTAGAGAGACAGTGGGTCTAAGGTTTGTTAAGGCTCCGTTGAGGAGTGCCCTGTGTTTTATGAGCCTGCACTTTTGGCTCATGTTGAAATTGGGGGAAAAAAATAACAAAACACACCTCATTATGTTGGGAAGAGGGTAGTTCCAGGGGGATATGCCTTCAAAGGAAGTGTTTCCGAACTTGGCTTTCACACTTGATATCCCTCCTCCAAAGGTAAAGTACTGGTGGTACTGTCTCTTTTACATTCATTGTCCTTGTTTTTCCTGGGCTCTTTTTCTTTTAATTGGGGGGATTGGGATGTTTTTTGTTTGTTTTTTTACCTTCAATAACTGCAAGTGACAATGAGATCTAGCTGTGGCTAAAGTTCCTGAGGGAAAAGATATCCCTTCCTACCCTTTTGTAAAGTTCAGTGTAAGACACTTCTGGAAAAATCTATGTGAGATTCACCACATGAGTATTAAGATAATACTATTTGCAAAAGTGAATCCTAGGAATGAGAAGAAACTAGGAAGTCATAGTCTTCTTTTACCCAGTGGAAACAGACTGACTTTTCTGTCTCATCATTTTTCTATAAAGTAAAGATAATAATATGCACACATCCCTGATGAATAATAAAATGCATTATGTAGACACTCTTATCTGCTACCCAAGTTTTAAAATCAGTAATATGTATAGTTTTACCTCCTCCTACTGAGGAAACTGTCCATTCTTAAGCCCTCAAAGTATATGAGATTCTGTGGGACCTCTAAATTGTGGAAAAGAAAAATTTACTTGGGACCAAAACATTTGGGTTAATACACCAATGTGTTAAGTGACATTTCTTACCTGCCTTTTCATTAATAAGGTTTCCAGGATCAACCCACTCATGCATCCCCAGTAGAGATAGACAGGGCATTTTTCAACATGGCTGACTAGAGGAAAGGGCCACAGAGCAGAAAAGTGTATTGTTTTTTGCCCATGACTTTGGAGAAGTGTATTGTGTTTTGTCCATGTCTTTGGGTTTTCATCTCTGTAATCCTGAGTAACCAGTTTTTAGATTAATATAAACTGGTGAACCTGTGATTTGCAATGAAAGTTGCTTTGACAGAACTTGCAAGTAACAGTTTTTTATGTAGTAAAGTTTCATTTTTTCCAGTTGAATATTTGAACCTAGACAATTTTAAAAAGATTTATCTGATTTTAGACTGAATGATAGGAATGGTATCTGACTTTCTTGAGAAAAATCAATACCCCTGATTTTTACAAGGAGCCCAATGGTTAAGCTCTGCTGCTAACTGAAAAGTCTGGGAACTAAAAGATATGTGGTCAGAACCCACCCCGGAGCAGGAGAAAGATCTAGTGGTCGGTCTCTATAAAAATGGTCCATTTTCATCAAAGGGAGAAGGGGAGGGGACAGGAGGACAAAGAGGAGATATTGGGTCGGGGTGGGGGGTGGGGGGGGAAATCATGAGGTTACAGAGTTTGGTGGGTGGAGGCAGAGGCTGAAGGAATTAGGAATGATCTAGTGAGGGCCTAAAAGATGAGTATCAATGGTGATTAATTTTGTAAAGCACAATATATGGGGATTATAGTATGAAACCCAGGGTGAATAAAGTAATGTATGTGTGGTCTTAGCCTGAAACTTGGCTTTTTTTAGCTATTACAGTTAGCCTTTACTACTCCCCAGCTACCTTAACTGCATACACATGGTCTAGAGAATCAATATGAATTTGCAAATCACCAACCAGTACTAGAATAAGAGAAAGAGTGCATCCCATATTAGGAGCAAGTCTTGAGGTGAGCAAGAATTGAGGCACCAAGACTTGAGGGAGACTATAACAAGACCCTGGTCATGGTGGTGGAGAGACTGTGGCATTGGTGCAAAGAACCTGTGGCAAGCTGTGACCTTGAGGCTTCTTGTGTTTGTGCTGTCTGCATGTTACTGTTTTTGCTGGATGCTTGAAGGAGACAACTGCTGAGGCAAACCTTGCTGGATGATTTGTATTTGACTGCTGAACTGAAACCAAAGCCTGAGCTAATTGAGGAATTGTGCCTTAGAACTTTTGGATTAAACCTGGACTTAAATTGTGAGATATTCTTTGCCTCCCCCACTCTACAACTTCTTGTTGTTTTTTTTTTTTATGTGACGTTGAGTCTCCCGTGACTCATCATAATAACCCTATGCACAATAGCTCTGAATCCTGCTCTATCCTGAGCCAATGTCACTATCACTGACATACCTACCCTTATTATCTCAGTTATTATTTCAATCCATCTCATCTAGGATCTTCCTCTCCTATGCTGTCCCTTAACCCTTGCAAACATGATATCCTTCTCCAAACACTGGCCCTTCCTGGCTACATGCCCAGAGTATGTGAGACAGAGTCTGAGAATACGTGCCTCCAAGGAACAGCTTGGTTTCACCCTCCCCAGGACAGACCTGTTCGTTTTCTTGGTAGTCCTTGGTATGTTCAATAAACTCTTCTCCAGCACCACAAATCAGAGGCATCAATTCTTCAGTCATCTTTGGCCATTGACCAGATCTCTAATGCTAGCAAGTAATTGCAAAGACGATGGGCTGGATCAGGTGTGCCTTAGTCTCTAGACTGACGTCCTTGTTATTCAGTGCTCTAGAGTGGCCCTTGACGGCAGATTTTCCTAATGCAGTTCTTTTGATTTACTGACTGCTGGTGTCAATAGAATTGATTGTTTAACTGTGCAAGATGAAATTGTTAACAACCTCCGTCTCTTCTCCATCTATCATGATGCTGCCAATTGGCCCAAATAGTAAGAATCTTCATTTTCTTGATGTTGAGCTTCAATCCATTTTGCAGATTACAGTCCTTGACCTTCTGCAACAAGTGCTTCAAACACTCAGTTTCAGTAAGTAAGGTTGTGTTATCTGCATAATGCAGGCTGTTGATGAATCTTCCTCCAATTCTGATGCCACATTCCTCTTCATAAAATCCAGCCTCTTGAATGATCTATATACAGATTGAAAACATCTGGTTATAGGACACATCCCTGATGCACTTCTTTTCTCATCTTGAACCATGCAGTGTTTCCTTGCTCTGTTCTGATGACTGCCTCCTGTCCAAGTATAGGCTTTGCATGAGCATAATCAAGTATTCTGGGATTCCCATTCTCGTCAGGGTTAGCCACAATTTGTTCTGATCCACATAAAGGCCTTTGCATAGTCAATGAAATACAGGTAGACATTCCTCTGGTACTCTCTGCTTTTCCATCTGACATTGGGTAGTGATATCCCTTATGCCATGGCATCTTCTAAACCCACTCTGGTATTTCTCTGTGTACTTTTTCAGTCACTTTTGCATAGTCCTCAGCAGGATTTTTCTTGTATATGGTATTAGTGACATTGTTCTATAATTTCCACACTCTGATTGATCAACTTTTTTAGAATGAGAATAAATATGGATCTCTTCCAGTCAGTTGGGCCAGGTGATTGTCTTCCAGATTTCTTGGCACATGCTGGTGAGTACTTGCAGGGCTGTATCTGTTTGTTGAGATACGTCAGCTGGTATTACATCAATTCCTGGGATCTTGTTTTTTGCTAATTCCATCAGAGCAATTTGAACTTCCTCTTTCAATACCAGTGGCTACTCAACATCAATTGTTTCATAAAATATGTCATGTTATTTTTTAGTGCAATGACTATGTACTCCTTCCATCTTCTTTTTATGGTTCTTGGATCATTCAGTATTCTGTACCATAGCATCTTCAATTATTCAAACTCAAAGTTTGAAATAAATAAATGAACCTCTTGCTGCGGCACCATGGGGCTGGTCTACTGACTTTTTATCTGCTTTCTCCTCAGGCAGTAAGGGACTGTGCTATTCTTACTTCCTCTGTCCCTTGCAGAGAGACGCACACAGCCTTGTGCCTCCATATACCATTTTCTGTCCTTTAGATAAAATGAAACAATGTATACAAATTTTGTTTATAAACCAATATAAAATAAAAATAAATTTTAGAAAAGAAATCAAACAACATAAAAAGGCATAGATCAATAATTGTGTAAAACACAATGCATATGAATGATAATATAAAACAACATGTACATGAATGAAACACAACGTATAGGAATAATTGTATAACCAATGAAGCACAGAAAAATAACCCCAAAACAATAAAGTTAACCCATTTTAAAGGCTCAACAGCAGTGCATTATTTCTTTGAAGTAAGATCATATCTTATTTTGATTTGTATCTAATGGTGAATGATTACATTTATTTGTTAAGTGTGTGGGCCACTTATATGTGCTCTTTACTAGAGTCTGTTTATATCTTCTGCACATTTTTTATTTAAAAAAGTGGTTTTTATTCAGTCATTCATATACATTTTGTGTTATAACATCGATATATCAATGCTCTTTGAAATAACATCTCATCTAATATTACATTCATATCTTGTTCCATATTGTTAATTAGAGTACATACAACGTCTCAGCCACCATTTGTCTCATATTGTTCTTCCTTTCCTGTTTTAATAAAATGATTATGGTCTACTAATTCATTTTTATACTCTTACCCCTCAAATCATACTAGATTGATTTCATTTGTGAACATTACACTAGTTTTTTGTTGTTGTGTTATAGATGGGGGTTTTTGAATAACAGTGTAAGATTGAAGTTCAACATAAGAATACATTATTTGCCCTTTTGTGAGTTATTTCACTCCACC